CCTTCCTCTCTCGTTAGGAGAGATTAGACCAATATACGCCTATAAGTCACTATAGACCAGTGACGTCTTGGTATATAGAAGAGGAAAGACGGGTTAATCACTCTGCTGCCCCTTGTCGTCATATAAGCTAGCTGACTAGCTGGCATGCTATCGTGCTGGAGGTCTTGCTTTCGGCTTGTATAAATATAGGCTTTCGGGTAGGAGTTTTAGACAGAAGGTAGGCGGGTAGGGGTAGCAACTCCTGTGTTCGTGCTAGCTGGCTCGCTCGTGTAGCTTCGGAGTCTTATTCTTTTGGGTAAAGCGGGACGGTAGACCAAAAGCACCGCATACCCCTTCACTAGCTGCTTCCTTCCATCGTGCTAGCTGGTTAGCCTTTACTATATATGGGGTAGGAGCAGAAGGTTGTTGGCCGGAGTTTCTATCGTTCGGACGTTACCGAGCTTAAGAACTAGCTCACCTTTACTATTATAAGGCTTCTACCACTGCTTTCCTGTCTAGCTGCTTGGGAGTTAGGAGCGTAGACCATAGACCCTAGCCTAGTTTAAGCCTTGCTGGCTCGTTCACCTGTTCATTCATTCCTTCCTATTCCTTTTATCCGAAAGCAGACGATCAGCTTTTTCGTCGTCTTCGTCTTCTACCCTTGCTCCTAACACTAGGAATCTTCCATTCGATCCACTTATCGTAAGGTAAAATGACGTAATATGATGTTCCCTGGCTGCATAAGATCTCATTCCTTGAAGGAATAGGTCTGCACCTTGCTACCCCATATGTAGATCTTCCATACACTGGTTCGTCCCCTCGTAAGGCAACGTCGAGCCTACTTCGTCCCCTTCACTCGAACTAGCTACCCCTGCCTTCACACTAAGAGCCTTCCTTCGCTTTCCGACTTGCGGTTAGGAGTTCAGTCCCTTCGATCTTTTGACTACCATTTCCTTACTCTCTCTTTAGCGGATTCAAATCCTTAGCTTAGGAAGTACCAACTTGAACTTGATAAAGCCCTCAAAGCAGAAGAAGAAAGAAAGAATAAAGGGTCTAACTAGCCATAAATCTTTCTCAATGTAATCGATCCTTTAAGAAGTTGAAAGATCTGTCAAAAGGGCGCGTCGGAAGACTGAAAAGAAGGATTGATGTAATTAAGATGCCATTTTCGGCCTTCTAAAGTACGTTTTAATCCTTCCACGTATGATGAATCCTAAGGCTCGTTAAGACCTGCTATCACTGTGAATAGACCTCCTGGATCGTTCCTTCTAATTCCTACTTGAGGGTAAGAGTCTTATTCTTTTGGACCAGACGGGAAACCTTAAGAAGACCAAAGATCAGTGGTAGAACCTTAACGGCCTGGTGGAGCTCCTTCATTCGGACTAGCTGCACCATTCGCTTCTAAGGTTAAGACAGGGAATAGGAAGGAAAGTCGCTTCAATCCCTCCGCCACCACTTGTGGATACTTTCGGACCTTTCTCTCCAGCTTCCCACCGGGCTTGTATAAATAATGGCTAGCTTTCGGACTGGCCATCGCATTAGCTGCCAAGTGAAACCCTTTATTCCTTACTCTACCGGTCTAGCAAAAGAAGCTCCGGCAGGAAGGCTCGAGCGAATGAGACTACCAATTGGTCCATTAAACCAGCAAGACAGATCAATCAAGAACGGAGGCAGCCCATATTTAACCTTTCCCTAGGGCCTTGAGTTCTTATACCTCAGGAATGACAAGGAAGGGGTTTGAGTACCCTCTTCATCTGCAGCTCCTAGGAGTAGCTGCCTTGCTCGCCTTTACTAAATAATGGCCGTGAAAGGTGGTAGGAATAGCTACCCGTTCACTCGCCTTGTAGTCATATGGGGTAGTAGTTAGGAGTTAGACTGGTGTTCATTTCCCATTGTGCTAGCCTGGAATTCCTATCTCGTGGGTACCGTGTTCGCTTACCGTCTGAGGTTAGGAGTTATCCAAAGGCCTCATCTTTAACAGCCTCTAGTAGACTATCTCTTGGGAAACCCTAGGGAATAGGAATGACGGAAGCGAAGCGAAGTGAAGTCAATTACATCTTTGTGGGCATCGAGACCCTTCTAATCTAACTGGATTGGGTTCCAAAGGTGAATAGAGTACGTGCGCATGGGTATGCAGACTTTGGTCAAGCTGTTCAGCCCTTCAACCTGATCCAATATTCTATCTTTCCATCCAAAGCTTTATACGCGACTTTTCCTTACCACTCGGCTGGCATGATTGGAGGAGATGCCCTGCTTGTTCAAGAGGTTGAGTAGCCTACTGACTTTAGTATGGGCTGAAAGGACTTCCTTCCCCTGGTAAATCCCTTAATCGTTTAGCCTCTCTTCATCCTTCGTCTTCTCTTGTGTCCACACCAGCAGCTTATGACTTTCTTTCTGAGGTAAAGACCTATTATCACCGATCAGTTCGGACAGGCATGGCGCACGAAGCCCTCAGAGAAAGCATTCCTTCTGCTTGAAAGAAAGAAGGCAGTCATAAAGGCCACTCTCTGAGGTCGAGACTTCCGTTGAAAAGTCTATTCGCGGAAGAAGCAGACATTCTCAAAACACTATCCCAATCTCTAGCAAGAGTACCAGCGCTTACTCTCGTTGCGGTTATTGCATCTTTGACTTCACTTCGCTTCGCTTCGTTCTTTGAGTCTCACTTTGCTCTCCTTTCTTTCCTTGCGTGGTAGGTGGGGGCACGGCTTATCACCTCCAAACCAATGAATTTAGCACCTTAGAACGAGTGGAGTGGGAAGACCATGAGCGGTGAAGTTATTTAGTATAGGGCTACCTACTATAAGAATAAAAAGGAGTACCTGCTATGCTAGTAAGAGTAACCTCGTAGCTGCCCTAGCTCAGGTCTTGACAGAGCCTCAGAAGATAACAGAACTCAAGGAAAACTCCGTCACACCCTATGAAAGTAGATAAGAGGTTGGCTAGCCACATGGACGAAGGAAAGGCGAAAAACCCTATTAAGCTAGGTCAATTACATCGAGCCAGTAAGAGTAGAGATTTTGAAAAGCATGGAAAAACCTTAGATTTTATTCCCCAATCACTTGACTTGAGCTGAGAGCAGAGCAGCCCAATCGATCCGCGCAGGAGAATAGCTCAGTGGAAGGGGGAGTCCGGCTTCATAGAGAGATACTGAATTCAATGAGATGCATCCCCCGAGACCTTCAAGATATGGAGTTGTCGCAGCTGCAGCTATCAGAAAGCAAGCAGCAAAGCCATCAAAGCGCACGTAAGCAGAGGAAAAGCAATATCGAAGATCTCTCTCTTCATCTTACATACGATGATAGGGAGTTTGAACAGCTAGAAGTCATCCCCTTCGCACGCCCTATGAGGCCGGCAGCTAGTTTCAGGAAACCGGCATAGAATTCCATGTGTGAAGCATCTAGCTAGCATTAGACTGACCGCTTAAGAATAGTCAGAATTGAGGATAGATGTAATTTAGAAGCAAAGTGAAGTCAAGGTGTAATTGACCTCTCCCGTGTGCACTAACTCCCGATCAATAGATATTTTTTTATGCGTTATGCCAGGCTCGATGCAATTGACCTATCCATTTTGTCTTCCCTTGGTACTTCAGTGAAACTCAAGCTATGAAGCGAGCGAGTGAGATTCCAGTAATAAAGTCTCTTTCCCGTGCAGTGTAGTTTAGTAAAAGAAAGAAGTCCGATTGAGCTACTCAGAAGCATTGGTAGGTTAAGTCGGTATAGCGTACCATACAGTAAGGAAAGAAAGCTTAGCAGTCCCGGTAAGAAAGTTTCTTACTAGCACAAATAAGCAAAGAAGTAGTTAAGTAGGTACGGGACGGTTGCCTCCCCCTGGCAAGAGATAAAAACAAAACCTGCCCTTTCCTAGCCTATACCCATACTTAACAGGTCCACTAGTAGGTATGAACTAAGAGGTACATTTACCGATATGCTATTACTAACTGGTCTATAGACGGAATACCTTGGAAAACACCTACATGCTATTCTTAAACAACCGGTATTCTTACTGTATGGGATTCCTAACCGATAGCCTACTTTTTCTATTCTTTCTCTCGCCCGTACATGGTATTCTATACCGGTCTATTCCTAGTAGGTCTGCTAACCCTTATGCTTATACTACACCAATCGACCCCAGCCAAACGAACAGTGCTTAGCTTAGGGTATTACGCTCTCTCTTTAACTCGCTTCATGGAATTCCGCTCGCTTGCTAGCCGTAAAGGATAGTAGGTACCGGCCTACGCGTTGCTTAATATTCTATTTCAACTTCTTATCGAAATATTTCTCGTTTCAATTGTAGCTTTCTGACTGAATCGTAGCTCACAAGAACAACTCTGGTACCACTTTCAACTGATAAAGTATCGAAACCTGCTAGCCGCTAAGCTGCCATATTATCTTTCTTTCTGTTCTGCGCTTCATGGTTATTTAATGAGCGATAGTCCTGTTTTGTGCCCGGGCAAAGAGTTATAGTTCTTCTTCTTATGCCGCCCATTGGGATAGTTGTTTTAATGGTTATCCCTTGCCTAGCTCATCAACGACTTACCCGCTTCCCAGCTCAGTTGCTAAACAGCGTAGTTAACATCTGTTCCCAACCGCCCATTACTTAACTGATCTACATCTGGTCAATTATATCGAGCTTCTTCTCGATCTTTAATACTACTTCCTTTATGGGGACAGCTGCTTATCGGTCAAGGGTTGTTAATGGTTATTTCTTAGTTGGTTTATCCCGGGTTTAACAGCTATATGGTATCTAATACAGGTCAATCATCGCATCAACATCTAATGCTTTCTTCATGGTTAGTTGCTACTTAACAGCTCAGTTACCTACTTAGTTGATCATGGTAATGCTTAGGAGCTAGTGGTACAAGTAGTAACCCATAGATAGTATGGTACCATCTTAGTTGCATACCGGACTGCATGAACTGACTTAACAGCTTTAACTGCAACACAACATAGGTAAGCGAGGGGTGCTACTTCACTGATAACTCCTTTAACTGCATCTGTTGCTAAGATGCTAAGATGGTATGTCCTGCCCCTGACTGAGTTTCTTATTTCTTGCTTCTGTTGCGTGTCCTGTTCCTCTTTCCCATGCGAGTCTTGCTTTGATGCGAGTACCGCCGATAGCTTTATAACTTCCTATCACTTATTACTTCCTATGGTACCTCCTCATTGTCAACAGGGCCCCCCATTCCCGAGTGTTGTTTATGCGCTCACCGGTTTAACAGCATTAACCGATCTTATCTCCCCTTGCCGGCCTCACTTCCTATATTCCCACTAACATGGTTATCCCTATCTATATGGAAACTAGTTCTTTATGGTATGACCTGGTAAATAGCTAAACATCTTATTTCTTAGTTGGTTTCTCCCTGCTCATGGTATAACATCACATTACCTACGTCCTGTTATCGAATGGTCAATAGCGTATGGTCAATTACATCGAGCCTTGCCCAGCTGCATTCTTAGTTGTTTTCTTAGTAGCTCATTGCTAAACACTTGTACTTTCTTCTCTTGCTTCCCCGGGGAATACTTGCTTACTTTTCTTCTTTCGACTTCTCTTCCCGTGGGACAACTGGTACCGACTTCCTAGAAGAATTTACCTCTTACTTCCTAGCTTCATGGGTTCTCCCTGCTGAACTGGGACATCTTTCTCTTCATGTGCGTGGGAAGATCAACTAAGCATTACGCTGTTGATGATCTTTTCTTATGTCAAGTAGGTGGGCTTTAGCGCGGTTTACTGAGACTCTGTTCTAATTCTACTAAAATAGAAAGAAGTTGGTTCCTGGACAAGGTCCTATCCTAGGCTTAGAGCTGAGCTAGACCCAACGAACTTTTCGAAGCGCAGTGAAGTCATAAAGGAAGCGCCTTCGGGACCAGTCTGAAATAAGGCCCAGTACGGTACGAGACTGTTAGGAATTCATCTATTTGTATGAATTAAGCGGCTCAGAAGATAGATAGCATTTCGATCCTAATGCTTTCAGAAGACAGGAACCTTCTACTTTGTTATACGAAAGATAAGGGCGGTCCCCTCTTTCCCACACGCGGCTAAGAAAGTCTTTTGCTCGATAGCGTCGAAAGTACGAGTTCACCTTAAACAGATCCACCCACCAACCACCGAGATGCGAAAGAAAGGCCGAGCTGGCTGGCATAAAAAACACTTTTCCAATTATGATACGAAATCTTGATCCAGGACAAATCCAGATTTAGGCTTTGCTGTCGAACGATAACTAGTACCGGCCAGATAGAGACCCCCCGCCTCGTCCGGTCAAGCTGCTCTTCTCTCTGCCCTTGAAGCGTAGCGAGAATCTACCGTGGTTAACGTCTTACTACTTTCTCCCGTCCCTCTGTCTACGATGGGAAAAGGGCAGCCAGAATGAGTTGAATCGGGAGGTCAATTATATCGAACCTCTTCTCTTTGCCATCGTGGGACTCGTCTATGACCCAGAGATCATAGTGATTTTGAGCACTCGTGAAGTCGTTCTTCCTTGACTCGAGCTAGCTTAATAGAATAGATATTACGAACCTTTTGCATGAAAGAAAACATGAGGTTTCGTACTCGGGCTGCCGTAGACGCTCGATTACATTGACCTGTTCACGCCTCTTAATCTTAAATGGACCAGATGCAGACCTATCGAAGGGATTCAGATTCAATTGTTCGAGGAAGAGGTATATTGGCATCTGAACGTCTTGCCTTTCAACAGTTCCTTCTCTGTTCGCACCTTCCCTTCAGTCTAATTGGCCTAATTCCCATTTGAATGGGCGTGCTGAACGAAAACATCGCCACATCATGGAAAGTCTTCCCCCCGGGAAGCTTCATCAGGACTAATATGGCTTCTTCTGCCTAATCAGTGCAATCCGGTGAAGGAAAGCAATCAAGGAGGACTGATCCCCGAAAGCAGAAGCGGTAAGAAGGGGAATCGAAAAAAGAGCAATTTTCCATTCCCTAACCTATCTATATATAGAAGGGAAGGCCTAAACCTTAGTAGGATTAACTAGGGCAAAAGTTCGTAGCGATTATATGATTTTTGATTTTCGAGATGCGAGGAATTGGGTGACGGGCTGACAAAACTACCACTACCCATACGTCATAGTCCCTAGGGACTCATAACATGTCAAAGCCAAGAAAAGCCGTAGTCTCCCCTAATTCTCTTCCAGTAGCAGCCCCTGAGAAAGCCTAAGGCATACCCAGAGAAAGCTAAACTCGTTAAGGAAAGGGCTAGTCCGAAAGCGAGGGGGAAGGTAGGAGATCAATCATGTGACGGCGAAGGGAATGGGAACTTTCTCGCAATGAGAAGGAATTACGAATCGAAGGGAAGCTGCAATGGATGGAACAGAGCTCGAACTCGCTCCCAGGGCGAAGAACTACAACTGGATAAGCTTTTACTGCAAACAAATACGATATGCTTTGGCTTGCTATAGGATTTGTTCAAATTTTCTCCCACTGCCTTCAAGTAGCAATGTAACTAGGAAAAACTCCTAAAAAGCTTACTCTTTTTCTGCAATTGACCTAGCCCGATCCTTCGTACTATCGATTAGTATCTTTCCTTGCGTGGAAGTAGTTCAAAGAGAGGATAACAGCCGACCATTTGGAACAACTACCTGGGGAAAGTAATCCACCGTTCGTCGGGATGGGGCCCGGTGGGGCTAGGAAGAAGCCCTATCTTCGGGGAAGCAGCGGAGACCGAATGAAAACGTCCGAGAGACTAGCTAGCTTGCTTAGGGATCGGGAGCTTCCCGGTTAGTTGGATGAAAGAAAAGGTTTAAAGATCTCGACCATACAAACAAAGCGAAGCGAAGTTCAGTCCCGGTTACATTGACCTCCCTTCTCGCTTCATTCCTTCCGAAGCCAAGCTAAGCCACTGAGCCATCTATTCAAATCATTATTTCTCCAGATCGAGATTCCAATAGCAATCCAATTGCCAGATAAAAATCCAAGTCCACCCCATTCATTCCCTATCTCTCTCTTCCAAGTCATCCAGCTGGCTACGAAGCAACCAGCACTCCATCCTCATCTCCATTGAGGAACATCTCACTAGGTCCTGTTCTGGTGCCGGGAACCTCGGCAGAGGCAATCTATCGGTCGTTCTCCTATCGAGACGAGAGTAAGCCCCTTTTTTCCCGCAGGGCTTCGAAGCCAGTGAAAGGCTCGATGTAATTGACCAAGGGATCACCATCATTTGCATCACCAGAGGCGGGTCCAAGCCCTCTTCGTCTTCCTATCCAGACTTTTCTGATCCCGGTGACCCAGCCCAAGCCAGACCTACCTTCTCTAGCATCCAATGAGAAGAAACCCGCATAGACAATGCATTTCAAAAAGGTCGAGATTCTACTTCCCCGAGTGCGCAGTTCAAAGTCTTCAAACCCACCTCTTCTGATTGATTTTAACCCGAAAGGTGTTAAGCCAGCAAAATCCCATCTCTTGATCCCATTGCCAAGCAATCCAGGCACACCTCTCCTAGTCTCGATTGGGATTCCCATTGTTCAGTGAAGGCTCGAAGCCATCTCCATATTCATCCCCACCAGCTGCCATTGACCCCTATGCTGCATTCGATCCATCTGTCCCATCACCAGAGGCGGATATGTGCCCAGGCATCTGATGCCTTTCGGACCTGTAAGGGAAATCAGTCATAGGTAGGCCCCATAGCCATCTCCATTCATCAGAAACTATCAATTACGAGTCCGGGGCAGGCTAACCACCATTATCTCTTTTCATCCTTTCCGGTGGCACTAATAGAAAGGAAGTACTTGCCAACGAACCTTGACTCTCTACTCTCTCCCAGCGAATCAAAAAATCGAGTGCGGTCAGTAAATGCATAATTTGCCCGGGATTGAGAGACAGATATTCGCCTGGTCCGATATTGGATCATTTGTCGCTCCAGGGAATTATAGACTTAGATCACCAGTTCATCCAAATTGGAAAATGGATTTTTCACTCTGTAAATGAGAAATACAACTTTAAAGTAAGAAAGGAGTACTCGGCGGGGATAAGAGACCCCCCCGGTCGATTTTAGGCGCTTGCAATATGGCATGGCTTGTTTTTGGGAGGTAAACTTGGGCAGCAAGCTATCTGTTCCCGGAAGCAAAAGTAGTTGAAGCCAAAGGCGACAACGAGGCCCCCGCATCGCGGGGGGAAGGGGAAAGCGGGTTAGTGGGTTCCCCCATATCTTTAGGAAGGTTGCTTTACATCTAGTGAATGAAGCTGGCATTCAGAAAAGCGGGGTGCCGCCGTAATTAAAGATTTGGAGGGACCGCCGCCGGACGGGCAGACCTCTAATCTAAGGATCCTGAAAACAGGGTAGCCCCAGGTACGCTTGGGGCTGGATTGAATCTTTTTTTCCTAGTAGCGAACCCTTTACTCGTTCCCACAATCATCTCAATTACATGGATCCTCGATAACCAAATCCCAGATGTACTCTCACGAACTTTCAAAATAGCACAATCAATAAAGGGAAGTGCGCCGGGAAAGCCACCTGAGATGCTGGTTCAATTCCAGCTTGTAAATCAAAGAAAACAGGATTCCTCTCCTTTCGCGTCGAGACTATGTTATAACCTTTCCTTCACTTCGCTTCGCTTTGTTCGTTGGGTCGACAAAGTTGAGATGTGAAGCCATCAAAGATGAATACCCGCCACGACTTATCCGTAGAAAAAGATAGGAAAATGGGTACTCAGTCGCGCGTACAGTCTGCAGCTAAACGATTTAAGCCGTGGTAGAAAACCAGTGCTAGTACTTAGTCGGGGTGTAGCTAAGACCTTTATCAGTGATAGAAAGCAGGTCTTCCGTTTGCCCTTTTATCTCATCTTTCCTTTTGTTATAGGCTCGGCCCAAAGCATAGCTCTAAAAGATAGATTGGACCCAAGGNTCAATTACATTGAGCCTCTCCGAAGTTATATGACTGAACTTCGCTTCGAAAAGTTCTTTGAGACTCACTTTGCTCTCCTTTATGACTGAACTTCTAAAGATTACATTGACCTCTCTATTCCTAAGACTGTTAAATCGTCTTCAGTCTGCTTGTCTTTTTATCGGATCTTGTCTGTCCTTATGGGATCTTTCCCTTTCCTAGGGTTAGCTTCCTTCAGGGTTGGAACCCGATCTCGACGTAAAGGAAAGGAAAGCCGGTACTCAGTGCTAGGACCTCGAGCGTATGTCAGCTAGCGCGTCTCAGTCTGCAGCTAAGGGATTTTATCCGTGAAAGCAAGGAAAGCTATCGAGCGTACAATCGGGTAAAAGAAAGCAAGTAGGTCGTACACCTTCTGGTTTTAGGTATAAGAAGTCAGGGCACTAGGAGTTCGATAGAAGGCCAAAAATCGGATAGGGATAAAAGCCCATTTATGACATCTTGTCTGGACACATTGGGACCAAAGGAGATGTAAAAAGATGGAAACCAAAGGTCTTTTCCTTCACTTCGCTTCGTTTGTATGGTCGAGTATCTTCAAACCTTGCCTTAGACTTATCGAGTTGCCATTCGAACCTCTTTGCGTGTCGGTACCAAAAACCGAAGCCTTACCACTTGGACTCCATGCGCAGTCTGAGAGATAAAACCACCTGACCTTTCTGAGTCGCTTACTTTAGCTTCCCCTCCCATGGAATAGAATTCCTTTCTTTTTCAGCTTGTTGTTATTCCTTCTCCGAGCAAACCTTCTCTGAGCCAACTTTGAATCCATCTTAGTTCGATTTTGAAGTCCACGCACAACGAGAGCGAAGTCATGCGAACTCTGAAGCAGCATTTGTTCCGTTGGAGAAGGCTTCATTCAAAGATCAAAGGCAATCTAATCTCCTAAAGTCATAAGTCTAAAAATAGACAAGAGCGCATTCGATCGTATATTCATAGTTGGCATCAGTGTCTTATAAAAAGAAAAAGCTCGAGAAGGTGGATCTATGGGACTTATATCCGTAGCAGCTCTTACTACAGTTAGAAAGGCTCGATGTAATTGACCTATCCGCTGTGAGAGTAGACGGTGCTAGCGAAGTGAATGAACTGGTTAACTCTCTTTCTAAGAGCAAAGCAAAGGATTCATGTCCCGAGAAGGAGTGAATTTGGTAACATTACCTGACGAAAAGAAAAGGTCCCTGCGCTTATGGGAGGTCTCCAGAAAAAGCTTTGGAGACTGACACCCAATCTCAGAAGGTTAGAAGTGAAGTTGCGGTAATATTTGACGCGTGTCCTAATGCAAGAGGAGCTTTTATGGAGATAACGTTCGACTTGCAATAGTTATCATTTCATTTTTAGGAGTGGCACTTGCTTGATTCGATGATGGTGGCAGGGGAGTCACTAATCAAATAAGGGTATGAAATAGTTTCACGAATTCCGAGGCGTAGAGAACTCAATTACATCGACCCTTGTGTTCCTGAACAAAGTAGATACGATTCAGAAGAGTTGTTGCCTTTTCTTTCTATAGTCAGTGATTCACAGACTGAAAAATAAGAACAAAAAAACGGGTACGGCAAATGAAATGACTCACGCACTGGATAGAAAGATTTGACTGACTTCCATTTTCGATTACCATTTATTTGAACAAGTTGAGTAGGGGTTCGTCGGATAGGCTGGCCTCTACGACAGGGAGAGATTCTTATGGTGTGCTGTAGGAAGGTTATATTTTTTAGGTACCTAAAAATTATTCCCTAGTACGACAGGCTCAGTACCCGAAGACAGGCAAGGTTTCAATTGCTTTCTTTCCCTTTTCCTCTTCCATTGCTTTCTCCTTCCTCCTTTAAGGCTGACGGCAATTCCATGGCGAATAGGACTTCATTCCTAAATAGTTGTAAAGCCCCGGTCTCAAACTCTGAACTACAGAATTACAACGGGTCTAAAGTGATGTGCAACCACTGAATTACATCCATCCTTGCCAGTAGTTCATCAAACTTCCCTCTCGCTGCCAGCCTTCGTTCAGGTTTTGAATCCAGCTTGTCTGGTTAACCGGGCTACCTATGAAAAGATGAACTAATTGCCTTTGCTTTCTTCTAATGGAATCAAAACCTCCTCTATTCCCCTTTGAAAGAGTTCCATAGAAGTAACGAAGCCTCCTTGGGTACCTCTGAATCTAGTATCAGACGATTCATTAGACGATTCTATGGATTTCTTCTCGGTGCAAAACAAAGGCCTAGGACAGTACAAGAAACTTGGTCAGTCAAATAAATAGATGGATCGCCCGAGAAAGCATTGGATCTAGCAGTCAAAGGTTCGAATCCGTCATTGGCCTGTCTATATGTGGAAGGTCAAGGGCTGGCAAAGTCGAATTCTTGACTCCTCGGCTCACTGCGTTAAGTATTAGGCTTTCTGCTTCTCAATGTAATCGACCAAACTTTAGAAGCGAAGTGAAGTCATAGAATTCTTTTAAAAGTGATTTAAAACCATACCTATGCCCATAAATCCATAGAGAAAATCCATGGTGAAAAGACATTGTTTGGCATTATGCTATCCGATATCTTTATCGCGGCCAAGCGGGTGGCTATCCAGTACCAGAATCTTAGCCGTAAATGTCAACTCACTCTCTCTCTTGAAAAGTAATCGATCTTCCACCTTAATCCTAGTACAGGGAACACCAAACGGAGACCTGCACTGCGGGCGAAGGGTTCTCAACCAATCTCGCACTTGACACGCAAAGCAATAAATAGCAGTCTATCTTCACAGAGAAAGGGAAGGATCTTGGGCAAGGGGTTCCCGGCTTCGCGAGACCTTTTTCGATTCTAGGCTAAGCTCAATGTCAATGGGGCCTTGCTTTCTTGATGCCAATCTCTTAGTCTGATTCAGATAAACTGTGAACCAAGACATGAAAAAGAACGAACTCAAAGCGAATTCTTTAAAGTAGATTTTCACTACTCCAGACTCTTTTTAAAAGGCCTTTTCGATATCTACGACAAAAGCTGTTCTCGGTCCGATCTTGCTCTGGGGCTTATCTGGGACCCTCTATGACTTCACTTCGCCAATACTTCTGACTTCACTGCGCTTCGCTTCGCTAGCTTAATACTCTTCGATTACATTCACTTCGTTCCTTCCCTCCTTTTTCACTCTTTTCCTTCCATTACTTTCTTTCCTCGATTCCATTCACTTCGCTTCGCTTCGTTCGTTGGGAAGAAGTAGCGGATCTTTTCTAAGCCAGGAAGATGCCTCTGCTGAAGTAGCAAGTATTGGGGTTTCAAACTGAGATTTGACTTTCTAGTAAAAAGGGGTTTACCAGATCGAAAGAATCCTGTAGCAAACGGGATTGATTCCACTTCCTTGCTGTTAAGTACGTCCCTCTTATCTCTTGCCGATTCCGAACTCCAGGAGGAGAGTAGCTCAGCCGACCTATGCTAAAAGCAGAGTTGGAGCTTGGCAATGCAGTTGATCTTCTTGCAGCTGAGAGAGATGCTGGCATTGAATGAAGCTGATTCCCCCGTATTGGACAGAAAGAACCTTCTATAATGAAGAGTAGGATGTGAGGGAAAGCCCTCTAGTCGAGTAAGAGAACTGATAGTTTCAAGCCAGTAAAGTCCGTTAGTGGGGGAGTTAACCCGGAGATTCGTAAATCAATTCTTTCTTCTGGAAACGACTAAAAAGAGCAGGAGCAGGGCTTGGGCAAGGGATGCAGGTATGTCATAAAGATGAAGCTTTCAAGCGGGGCTGTTCAACTCAATCTCCATCATCAAAGACAAGGAAATCAACTTCACTAGATGGTGAGCTACCTGATTCTTTCTTTCACCCTACTGGTGAGTCTTGCCCAGGGAACAATGCTTTACGGGGAACCGGGTCTCTATAAGCCTCGGAATAATGGCAGTTAGTTGCTCTCAATGACGAAGTCTCGAAACAGATTCCCAATTCCATCTCTCGAATAAGAGTATCAGCGGGTAAGACTCCTGCCTGGAGTCACTAAAGAGAGAGTTGCTTACTCGCCAGACTACCGGTGCCGGAGAGTTGACAAGATGCCTGACTTCGACGGAGTTGAACCAACCATTATCTAGAGGAGGTGCGGAGAGAACTGACCGATATGGATGGGGAAATCAAGAAGCCAGCACTAGAACGAGTTCAGCCGCTTGACCATCGGGATAGTCTTCGGCTGACGACTTCATTTACGAGGAATTAACGGAAGAAGCGGATCGCAACTCAATTCCTTGTGACATTGAGGTTGAGGAGCGAAAGGGATAGGCTTTGAGCCGCTTCCAGTAATGGGAGGACTCGCCTTTGTCCTTACTTTATTAAAAAGGGAATTCCCAGGTGTTCATTCAAGCTCCTATTTCGAAGTAAGCCTATTGGTTTGGTTGTTTCGAAGCTTAGTAGCTAAAGCGTACTTGTTTGTGCGTGTTGCTTACTTGCGTGTGAAAGGGGGTACGCGGATTCGGGTTGCCTAAGTAGAGGGCATGGAACTTTCCCTTGCGATCTTGTCTTCCGGGCGCACGGAGAAGGCTTTCGCGGAAATAGGCGAATGCTATGCCTAAAGTAAAGGTAAGTAATATCAAGGCCCGGGCATTCTTCCAATGCAATACCTTCTTCCTTTACTGCTTGACTTTGTTTGCCTATCCACTGTTTGTTAAGGGCATAGCCCTTTGTCTCCGCTCCGGTTCTATTGACTCAGCTCTTTGGGATATCATAGGAAAGAATGAAGCGAGGGACGAAAGCATCTTAGTGAAAGGATAGGATAGCCAAAGCATGAATATTCTATGCTTAAGTAAAGTCCTCACTGCCACGCCATTCACTTCTTTCTACGCTAAAAGATCACAGGCTTGTTAGCGATGTGGAGTCAGATTCCTACTGACCCCTTGCTTGAACCTAAAGTATACTTAACTGAGCAAGCTAGGCAGAAATCACAGTCGTAAATAGACAAGACTGTCCTACCTTCTAGTCAGACGGAAGATAAAGCCCTAATACACAGCTTCAAGCCGGGCGTAGGTTCGCTGGAAAGTGAGTCTTCATCGAGTTATTTATGTATTTTATTAGCATCCCGCCTTTCCTGGAACTTATTCACTCGGAGTGGAATCGAACCACGAAGGATTTTCAGTCCTTTGCTCTAACCAGCTGAGCTCCAGCTCTCCGAAAACAAGGTTCAACTCTTTGTTGAGGCCACTTGTGTAGGAAAGCCCTTGATCGAATGGGATCGAATGGCGGGGTCTGCTGAAGAGCGACCCACGTCTTCCTCGTCATACAGCACAGAAGTCTGACTTCCACCTCAAATGCAGCTTCTTATTGACAAATTGCAACCGGAGTTTGCCATGACTGATCATAGTTTTCTTAAGAAGATCGAGAAAAGAAGCCAAGACCCTTCTACCGTACCGAATTACGCTTTCACCAGGAGCGTAGCGAAAAACAATAAGTCAGATTTTGGTCCGGCTTACTCTCTATACTTAACATATCTTGCTTCCCTATAACCATCTCTTCGGAATGGCACTGAATTCGTACTCCCCAGGCTCCGCACTCACGATACCCCCTAAATCTAGTATAAATAGTGGCCGTTCACGTCAGGAAGGAAAAGAAGAAAGAGGGAGGACGGATCCCAAGGGTAACTTCAAAAGCAAACATGCTTACCATATGGCTGCTCATCAAGACTCTCAGCAAAGACTCCAATCGAGTGACTGGAAGTGGATTTGCCCAAACTACTCCTAGAGTGAACGACTTCCTCTGGCTTTGTGCCCATGATCGTCTAGCCCTTCTCCACACTCGGCACATTAGTCAGGGATCCTGTTGGTGCCAAGGAATCAATAAAAGCACCGACCATGTCCTCATAACCTGCCCTAAAGCTACTAAATTCTGGCCTCCCCTCTGATCTGAACAAGCCTAACCATGGACTTCGTGAGTGGCTCAAGAATGGAATCCAATAAAATATAACTTCTGCCCATGCTAATCTTCCTTGGGCATTCTATTTCCCCTTGCGTGCTGGACACTCTTGTCCGAAACAAAGAAGCCCTGGACCCAAACAAAAGGCTTTGTTGGCAATCCTTATTATATAAATAAATGAAAGTCTTCCATTTATACTTTTCAATTATAATAAGCAAAGCAGGACTTATTCTTTCTTATCTAGTTACAGCTGATAGGGAAAGCTCTTGTACTCTATAAAGCAAAGCTAGTCTCATAAGACTAGCTAAAAGACTCTATTCCATATGCCAAAGCTTGGAGTGGGAGTTCGGTTCGATCCCTGGAAACATTCTTTACTTCACAAGAGTCCCCCTCGGATCAGAGAACTGGCTTGACACAGCCAAAGAAAAGAGGATAGTTCGATCCCAGATTGAACCGAAGCCTACTTCTTCTCGGGATCTTTCTCTTTCTTTCGGGAAAGGGAACAGCACCCTACTATGAATAACAGCAGTTCCTAGCCTGGGCATCATATCATCACTTTTTAATACGCTATTTTTGAATTAGTCATAACACCACAATCCAACAGACCTTCCCCACTAGACTGGAGTAGCGAGAAGAGAAGCCTACCTAGGACAGAAAAAGCACAAAGTCAAAGACAGAAGAAAGGGGGCCGAGGAAGAACCTGAGATCATGGAGTAGGAATTTATCATTCATCAAGAACTTTTCTTCCATACTGTCCTATGGGAAAGATTGACCATCGGGTTCATTTCTTTTTTTTGGCCTTTAGGCAACTCGAAAAACATCGTCAATTGCCTCTCTCCTCTCCGGGACTTCACTTCGCTTCGAAAAGTTTGTTTGGTCTAGCGGAATCTCAAAATTCCCTTCTCGTATATGATGCGCCGAATCGCAAATAAGTTCCATGGTTTCCCCTTTTGCCAAACCAAAAGTTCTACCTCCACTCAAGGAAGTATTGGTAGCATGCATGCGCAGGGGATTCCTAACTCTTCAAAGTGCAGCCCTAATCTTCTTTCTTCACTTCACTTCGCTCGCCTCACTCGACTCTATCTAGCCATTCGTTTTTAACATTTCCATGAGGCTCGATGTAATTGAAGCCTTGTAGTATGAAACTTCCTTACTAAGCTTGCAGTAAAGTAATCCCTTGCTTCTGACTTTCGCAGGGTCTTTCTTTCGAACCCGGAATATTCGATTTAGGTTCATTTATGACTTCACTTCGCTTCGAAAAGTTTGTATCGTCGAGTATCTTCAAACCTGCCTCAATGCTTGAAAGCCCGAAGCTGTATTGACCAATAAATAAGAGCCAGCAGCAGCCCCTAGCCGGACTCTCCCTTCCACTCTGAGTCAACTCAGTTGAATTTGGTTAGAAAGATCGGCAAAGACAGTTCGCCTGGTTTTCTTTCTCAATTACATCGATCCTCTGTTCGCCTTTCGGCTCACGTCTGCCCTTCCTTGGGCTCGTCCCTTGCTTTCGGGGGCCTCGGGGACCGGTGATCTAAACTCGGCGATCCCTCATCGTCGACTTATGTCTCATTAACCATGACCACTTGCTGCTAAGGCTTTTTGACTTTCTTACATTCGCCATCTCGTGAGTAGCTGTCACTGGTCTGGGTCAGATTCTGAGGTATACCGATAGAATACAAAAAAGAAAACCTATAGGAGATATGGGAAAATAGCCAGTGAAGATAGCTTTTTTCTAGCGAAGAGATCAGCCCTTTCGATCCAGCACCTGGAGTTCTACAATATAGATTGGATCTTGGCCTGAGGTAGGGAGCTTGAGCTTGATAAGGATGTGAATTATTGGCATATATCACCCCAACTTAGAAGCGAAGCGCAGTGAAGTCATAAAAAAAGAAAAAAGGAAGAATTCAGTTTGCGTACGTCTTATTCCGTATCCTATACTCGCCTACTTGAAAGCGAATTGCTACTGTACTGATTTGCTTTGGTTTTTCCCACTTACTAGCTATACTCAATTACAATCAATCAAAGAAGAGCCAGTCGACGGGATGGTTGGGTCCGTTAGCCGATCGTCTACTCGTACGTGAGCGTGGGCCTGGCTCCAGGGACTCACTGGCCAAAGCCTGCTAAATGAACCTCCAAGTCTGCCAAGGAGAGCAAAGTGAGACCCATGTAATTTAGAAGCGAAGCGAAGTGAAGTCATAGAAGCTTTCTCGAGGAAAGGAAGTTCCCATGCCATTAGTCTAGCTCACCCCGGCTTCATGAATGACTAACTCCTATAATTTAGCATTTCCTACGCCTGGGATAGGGCAGGACTGCTTCATTTGGGCCGCATTCTTCGGCAGTTCCTATGAGGTTTGTTTGGTTCTCTTGAGTTGCTAAATAATGGTTTTGGGGATAATTCACAGGATGAGGAGGCTTTCTTATTCAGCAGGGGATCTTGAGTCTTAGACAACAGCCGAAGTGGGCTACTGGGATCTGGCACATTTAGGGTTTGAATCCGCAGTTCAGACATCGGTGCCCTGAACCAGAGGACATTTGTGACTCCTTGCCATCTTAGGCCTGGAACATCGGACTGCCTTCGTCTTTCGGCTTTAGGACTAACTAAGTATTATTTAATAAATAGGTATTCTGTGAGAAAAAACACTTTTTGAAGAAGGCAGCGAGGGATGGGCCACAGAAACTCCTTCAGGTCAGTAGTGGCAGTTGAGGAGCACGCTTTCTTTATATATCCCGTTGGAGTCAGAAGATTTTCTATGGAATCCCACAACTCATGCAATGCATGATTTGAGATATACCGCTTACAGAAAAAAATCATACAAATTGACAAAAGAAAGAATCTCGTCTTTAAATAGCAACCCTTTATGGGTGCATCTTACGAAGAATAGAACACAGCCCATACACAGAGGGAATCACAGCACCACAACTAGAGTTAGAAGAGGGCGATTGCTCAACAACAACAACCTCCGGGACACTACACTCCCACCAACCAGACGTTACGCCACTCCGTGAAACCCGTAGCTACACTCACAGCCACTCCATCGGGTCTCCAAGCAATGATCACTCAACTTTCTCAACTCTACTCGGCATTCGATCATTACTTCCCGATCATTTGGAACAGAGCTTTTTTTCTTCCTTTCGTGTTATCTGACTAAGGGTCAAGGCCGGGAAGGAAAGATTAGTCCTTTCTATTCGATCTAAGGTTGAACCACACTCCCCTAGGTCGACTCATTTGAGCAAATTGAACTCTAACCAGGTCTGGAATTCCGGGTTTTTAGATAGGAGACAGGGTCCATATTCCCAGGTCCAGCAAGGGTAGTAATCGGGGTAGAAAGCGAGTAAGCTAGCTTTAAAGTGAGGGTCTGATTCTAAGGGTTCAAGCAGGTACGATAGATAGGCAGTTATAAGGGCAGATTCCTAGGCGGAAGGCGCAGGGCGGAGATTCGTAATTAGGAGTGCGAAACTTGTTTCAATTGCTTTTCTGAAGTATATGACCAGATTGAACTCTAACCCCGGCCATATTCGGTGTTTTTAGCTATTCCCTGGTCCTCCAAAGGGTTTGATAGAATCCAGGTAGAAAAGCGAGTATGAAAGAAAGTCAGTTTCGATGTCTTCATATTCTTTGCTTCACTTCGCTTTGCTTCGTTCGTTGGGGAAAGTCAGTGAAATCTTAGTAGTTTCGATGGAATCGATGGTAGAACCTCTTTTCTAAGGGATTTACGGGCAGAATCCAAGAGAAATGGGCAAGTGCTTGAGATGACGGTCAGCTTTAGAGCAACCTAGGTGGCTGCTCTTCAAGCCTGCCTTGAAAGAAAGGAGAATTAAGGTATGCATCTTTCAACCATGTTACCCAGTCCATATCTTCCACTCCAAGATCCTTTATTCATACCATCAGATATGACGGGGAAGCGTGATGGCTTCCTCTCCTATAAGCCTCTTTCTAGTGGCATAAAACTTGCAGATGGATCCCTATATAGTGATGGTGCATCCGGAATAGATATTTATCCACTTTATTCATCCCCCAAGTGACTTTTCTTTTCCTTCACACCTTCTCTCAGTTAGTTAGCTGACAAAACAATTGAGTTGTAGCATAATTAGAACTTGAACTTTCTTTCCATCTCACCTTTTTTTTCAGGACCTGCGAACGAGGAAGACGATTGGTGGTGGTCGTGGACGGGCTGTACTTGTTCGACGCAGAGTTTTCTTTCTGAGGATTCTCTTTCATAGTCTGTCAACAATAAAGAGCGAGTACGTCTGTGGCATACTCTCTTTAGGTAATCTTTAGTTGATGAGGACAAGGCTCGATGTAATTGACCTTGGTAGTCCTTTTTACGATGCCTGGAATTTCGATCTAAGTGGAGCTAGCCTACTCTTAGAGTAGAGAAGAAGAATATGATTATTAATGGAATAGGAGTTATCGGTCAGCAGAGCAGGGATTTGAATATCCCGCCCTTCTCTAGTCATCTCGCCTAGGCTACCAGCCTATCTTGCCCTATCCATTGTGATGGGTCAACTTGCCTACTTCAAGTGCCATGATTGATCTGTCTCGAATCCCTCTTCCTTGTGAACAGGCCGTCAAGCTCAATTACATCGACCCAACTTAGAAGCAAAGCGAAGTGCACTATTTAAGTCAATAGCAGAACCATCCACATTTAGTTTAAGACCTGTAATATGAGGAATCATTTGAGCCATTTCCCTCTTTTGGGAATGGCGGGCAGAATGATTATCAAGGCTTGAATGCATGTCTGATCATGAAGACTGAGAGAGTAAGAAGCCTTAAGAGATCTGAGCACCACTTCAACTTAGGATCATTTTGTTTTGGTTTTTCTTTGAAGGATCTTCACACAGGGAAAGAGCTCCTAAGTGCTAAGTCCGACAGTGCTCTCCACCCAGGTCTATGAGGTGTGGGATGTCTTCCCTTCCTGAGTTAGTGCCAAAAGAATAGTAAGCAATGATCATGTTGCCAGCATGCTATGCGACTAGTCGATTATCTTACTAAGCTAAGAACTGGATCTCCATCCAAGAAAGTCAATAGAGATTTTTTATGGCTTTCAGTGCCCCTAGCACGAGATCATCGAACTGCACTTTAATTAAGAGGTTCACTTCACTGGTGGTATGCTTTAGGACTCTTCACTGAATGACTCCTGACTGTTAAGAAACTTTTGCTTTTTGCCAAGGGAGAAAGGCTTCACTCAAGGTGATAGGTGGAAATGCTAACCGAACACGTCCAAAAAGTCTCGTAACGAGGCTAAAGCCAGTTGCCGGTCGAATAAAATCAGATACATGTAAAGAAAGAAATTCTATGTCCCGACCCGGGGCGAATTTCCGCTTCAAACAGGGAAGTCGACTCTGGTCTGACTTCTTTCTGAATTTCTTTCGTCATAGACTTCTGTCAAAAGTGAAGGGGATAGATTAGATTCTTGAAACTTCCACCGGGTGGTTCCCAAAGAACGTAAAGCTTTAGCGAGACGAAAGCTAGAGACTTTCTACTGAAATACTTAATTCTCCGAATCGGGGTGATAAACATAAGTTCGTCTTCCGGACCGGCCCAGAAGAATGTCGGGCTTTGTTTGGTAGGGCTTTCTTTCCATCTCCTTTTATTCTTTCCTTTCTTTCGGATAAACCAAAAGCTCTGGTGGAGCTATTTGTAGACTGAAAATTGCCTAGATAAATAGCGTTGATAGAAGCTTAGGTTTATTTGCCAAATCAACAAGATTGTGTATCATGGTGATCTCACTGAAAGAGAGGCATGCTGTCGATAAAGTCATAAAAAACAATTCGGGATAGATTCTTTTCACCGAAATTCCCCCTTTTCCGGCTTCGATTAGCAAGAACAAAACAAACTCAATACGGGATTGTATTCGAAAGAATTGATTTAGAACGGGGTGGGGCGCCAGGAAGCCCCGCTTAGCTTGTATGAGACTACCATTGTTCACCCTTTGTTCCACCATGCGGTTTGGTTTCCCTGCCTGGCGTGCCTGCCCTCTTTCAGTCCACGTGGTACTCGTATTAGCTAAGTGAATTCTAGCTTTTACTTTGAAAGCTGGCAACGGGTCCTGTTAAGCGCTTCGCCTCGTTCCCTCCTAACACAAACTGCTCTGTGTAGCAACCGCAACAGCGCAAGCGAAAGTGTCTCACGCCTCCCTTTCTATCGTGGTACTGAGAGGGACGGTCTTGACTTTCTTGATTTGGAAGATCGCCACACCTATTCCTTCTACTCCGTAAATAGTCTCAAGCAGCTCGCCACGCATGCATACATGATTGAAAGGACTTATATGCCCTTTTCTATGTAGCCACAAGGCCCGTTCAACATACCTGAGGAGAGACGTAGAAGCAGGTTGGGGGGAGGCTTCGATGGGCAAGCGGAACTTGAACGAAATTGTATGGTTAGTCGATACAGCTCGATCCGTTCTTCAGTTATTCCTTAACATAAATCATTATTTCGTGTGTTGTCGGCTCTAAAGCAAGGGCGGGCAGGTATTGGAAATGAGTTAGCCTCTTTGACTATCCTTTTTTGTTGAATTGCTTTCGACTAAACGGAAGCCCCTTGTTAGGACGAAGATCTTTGCTCAAGAGGAAAAACTTCATTATACGAAATAAGATAACTAACTGGCAGCCGTCCGAAGGCAAGTAGTTAAGAACAAAAGCTCGAGCATACAGCGGAAAGCATACGCCTTTGGGCAAAAGGAAGCATTATCCGCTGGCACAAGAATAGCAAACAGGTTAAAATAAAAGCCCATCAAACTATGAATTGAAAGGATCATATAGCGGAAAGCATCCTTGGAAGCCGATCCTGTCCCGTCAGTCACTATATGAAATAAATACGGAAAGCCATCAGATACATGTCAGTAGTTCATAGAATGGACTTTAGTATCTGGTATAGACCCGATATGATATATATTACCATCGGTTGTCCCTGATCTGCAAGTGATATCTGCAGACCAGTACAACGCTTGACTGATCATCGAGGACCCTACCGGGCAAGAGCCCCCTTTCTCGATCGAACCGGGCTGCTGCTATCACAAATCTCTATTCGTGCTCGAGAGCATGTAGTTGGAAGAGGAACTGGTTGGCGAGCGTAAAGCGCGAGATGTCCTTTCATAGCGGAAACTCTCAAACAGAAGAGAAGGGCACAAGAACCCGTCATGCCTTCTAAATAATCATTTTAGAATAGAATGTCGTAGAGAAAGCAAGGACTTTATTCCCTGGCGATAGCATAACAGGCTGGGTCCGGTGACAACATTGGTATTTGGTGGTTGGTTCCAGGGAGCTAGTTGGTTCCTGGCATCCGATTACGAGCTTTCTTGATCGGTCTCACTTGCCATCTTCGGTATTGGACTTTGCTTATCTACGATGAAACTTTCTATGCTCGTACCTACCACTTGTTCCTAAATCTTCGCTTGGAGTAAAGATTATCACTAAAACCTACCTTGAGTAAAGGAGGATTTTTTTGCTACCGCTAAGAGGATTTAGTTTAGGAAGGCCTCTAAATGATGAATTTTTGTAGAAAGCAAAAACTATCCAACCCTTTCGGAAAAGCGGCGTTCCAGCCTAGCAGAAAAGGGGTTGATGCACCTCCATCCAATTTCAGTTAAATCTACTCTACTTAGCTATCAAAATCCCATCCCTCTAACCCTTAAAAAATGGATTAGCAATGGCTTAATAAAGGGATTACCATAGGACTTAGACAACTACTTGGGGCTATCTACTCCAACTGGCTCGCGGGTAGCGATAAGGACAGGATGGACTGGTGGAAATGCAACTACTGGTACGAATGCTGGTACAAGGGCACTGGCTAAAAATGGCTGTAAGAGAACTCTCCCACGGGATGGAGTGGATGGATTGTCCCTTGCTTGCTGTCAACTTAATGCGCTTACCTTACTATGGAAATATATAGCCCTATCGTTTATCGTTTAGCAAAAAGATATAGCCCTCCCCTATTGGACTGGATGGAAGAGAACTCCCAGGTATAAGGGATTATCTTAAGGCAGGGCTTTCCTCAAGAAGTAAGGAATGAGATGCGTAGTTTAGCTTTTATGATGCTCTGCGTTGAAGTCTGAAACGTCTTCTATTTCGGCTATTCTTACAAGACTCATCTCCATCTGTCAATCAGAGGAGTAGAAGGAGGTCAACTACTTCGTCACAAAAAAACACTGATCTATCTGATTACTTAGGTACAAAGGCATTGCATTTCTTACTACACAAATAGTCACACATAGCTGAAAACGTTCATATTTCTGACGTTGTCTTTAGAGGCTACGGTTAAAGACTGCGCATACCTATAGTATAGTAGTTTTCAAATAGAGATTGGAAATGAGCGGACCACCTATCTCTATCTTTCTTAGGTAGATTCATATTAGTAAGGCTTTTAATGAATTAAATACTTCTTTCTCAATGATGCTAGCTAGGGTTATTCAGCTCTTGCGCCCTGGGCCAATCAGGGTTTTGAATTTATGTTTGTATTTTCTTTTTGCACGCTTTCTTTCCTGCCTCTTTCTCCCTTTCTTTCGATCCTTGGCGAATCATCATAATTCGAAACTAAATGCGTTTTCCGGATACAAATATCGGGGTGTCAATCCTCACCCCATTGGCTCGAGGGTAACCCATTCTTTATTCTTTTCGGCAACCCAAAGGGAAAAGCCGAGTCTGCTCCTGCGCCATTAGCAGATCGAGGGCATAAAAGACTTCTGGCAGCTAGAAAGACGATCGATGCCAGATTTGGCACAACGACTCGAAAAAGACCCTTTGCGAATTGCCCCCTTTATAGTCCTGAGATTGGGAAATACCTCCTTACGCGGCTTCCTTCTCCGGCTTTAAGGACTCGAAGCTACTTCCGTAGAAGGAACATAGAAAGGCTCTGAAAGACCTCGTTTAGGAGTCTCTTCCCGCCTTTTAGGTCAATAACCGAGGAAATCGAAGATTCAGGATAGGAGCGGAAATAGGCCGATATTATCTAACAGACATGGGAAATCCCGACCTTCTGAGGTTCCTTTTCCCCAGATCTGTTATCTGAATAACTCACTAACAGGACAGATACGAGGTTCGATTACATTGACCTTTCCGGTCTTCCTTTTCCGGCTTTCAGGAACAGAAGGATAGCCAGCATTGGTACTGAGATGGGATACGAAGGTTCGAATCCTCCTACTCCTGATCCGGATCCGTTTACTCCTGAGAGGAAGAAAGCCAAGCCCCTACCGTAGCTATTTCCCATCCTCAGTCTCATGTTTAGGCTTGATGTAATTGACCAGGTAGGACCCTATTGTTTGTTCGAGTGATTGTTGCCTTGGAAGATAATCAATCCTGGCAAGCCTCGCATTGAAGCGAAGCAAGTTCTATAACTGGATCGCAGGCTGGAAGGCGATGGAACTGAACTAGCTTAGAGAAAGAACGTTTGTTTGCTACCATACCAGTGTCTATCGATGATCAGTACGATTCCAATTCACCTATCAGGCACAAGACAATCAGTCCTTTATCCGATCGGGAATTGAGCTTTTGTCAAGCATGAGGTTGGCGTTCAGTCAGGCGCCTTTCCTACACAAACAAACCATAATAAAGGTCCTTTGGTACATTTATTACGGCTACGAAGTTTCAGATGATCGGCAAAGTTGTCCAAACGTCTATCAGCCGTTGGCGATGTTCTTGGGCATTGGCCTCGTAAAAGCACCGGTCGTCGTGTGTTAAGCTAGCGTCAAAAAGTATCAATTAGTCTTATCCGGTAAAAAAGTAAATAGTTCCGATTCTATGACTTCACTTCGCTTCGAAAAGTTTGTAGGGGAAGAAGTCTAATCAATTCAGTCATGGGTTGGTCAATGTAATCGAACCTTGACTTGAGGCGTTGAATAGGTGCTAAGAGTTCTTCGGGGGTTTCGTAGATGCGGACTCAAAAGTCGATATTTCTCAGTTTCTGGTCAAAGGAACTAAATAGGTCTCAGATGTTTCGAGGAAGGGCAATTATCATCGCGCCTGATGTTGAAGGATTTGGGCGATACTTATCTTTAGTTTTCGCCGGTTGAGGGTTTCGTTTACCAGGTTCGTCAGAAGTCTTGGACGAAACACTTTCTTTGATGCGGAAGTCCAGGTTTAGCTGCCGGGCAGGGGGGAAGGCGAAAGTATGAGCTTTCTTACTACGACTCTGGAACTCGTTTTCCAAGTTCCGGTAAAAGGACTAGTTTGGCTGCCTTAGCCAGAAAAAGCTGTAATCTCTTATGTTGAAGCGAATGAGAAAACTGGCATCCCCCTATGCGGCTCCCCTGCCATTCCAGCCAGATAAAGCAATGCAATGAGTCGGAGAAGAAACAATAAATAATTCCAACGACTACTCATATCAGGCGCGATGATAATTGCCCTCGGTAGGCTCGAAGCATCTGAGACCTAAGCTACAAGCGTGAGACCGCCAGGGAACTCATATCGAAAGAACTACTTGCATAGATAAAGAAATAAGTCTGGTATTTGGCGATCGGACGGCGTCTTGTCTTTGAGGCAATGGAAAAAACCTCGATCTATCTATAGTGAAAAAAGTGCCTATTTTTTCTTTTTAGGCTTCCTTCAAGAGTTAGATAAGAAAGCAAAGCCTGGCCAAACAAAGTAAGTAGTACTTATTCTTTTTCTATATTGCCGTAGGTGACCATAAACAAAGGAAGAAGTACTACTTACTTAGCCTACCGATTCAGAGCTATTAGGGACAAGAGACAGAAAGAATGGTCGTATAGTGATCTGTTCTTTCCAGATAAGAAAGAGTAGTAGTATGGATTATTGTTTGCCTCTTCCTTCTTCTTATTCCGATTGCTTCTTCTGTTTTGACATCCAAGACATGAACAAAGCAAAGGAAGGGGCAAGGAACAGCCGTATTCGTTCGTTTGCCATGGGTCAATCCAATAGCTGATCTAGTACTAGTCCTTTCGAAAGAAGCAAGGGCTCCAGTCTTCCGTGGATCTGCCATATCCCTATTAGGTTTGGGAGTAGGGAAAGGAGCCTTCGCATCCAGTCGCTGTTCCCCTTGGTCTTGCTCATCAGGTTCGGCAGTAGGAATAGCCGGGGTGTTCGCACTACAGGTTTCATGCCAGGGAAGGAACCTCCCCGATCTGTGAGGTAGAATCACAAGCAAGGGTTCTGAAGGGGTCCATTTCCAGCTCATATATTAAGTGCTATCGCACCCCTTTCTGTCTTGTCCTAAACGGCCGCTTTTCTGTTATGTCTGAGACCGCTGTCTTGGCTTTACTTACAGCCGATGGAAGTTTACCAAGGGTCGTCACGAGAAAGGAAGGGATCGGTAAAGTCCAGAAAGAGGGGGCCTCGTTCGTAAGAAGGCTTTGTTTTGGAGTTGGGATTGCATTGGCATTGGGCTCTTGAACTCGGGTTAGAGAAAGGATTGAAACAACTGGCAAAACAAGAGCACTTACGAGAGTTCCTCCAGAAATTGCATAGAATAGAGTGGATTAGAGGAATACCCGAGTTCGGTTGAAAACTAAGCTGTCGGGAAACCCCTAAAGCTAAAGGGAAAAGGGGAGTACAAAACATCTGATCTCAGAAATCTCACTCCTATCATCTTTTTTTTGGTTATGCGCATCAGGAGAGCAAAGTGAGTCTCGACTGAAAGGAGAGGAAAGGTGAAATTGAAGCAGTCGAAGGCCTGGTTTCCGGTTCAAGGCAGATAGCAGTTAGCGTAGCGAGTAAATGCTAGGTTGGAGTGGTAGTTACGCATTGAGTTGATAACCAATGGGATGCATCAAAGGGCTAATCTGTCTTCGAAATACGTGCAAGAAAGCAATCCCGGACCTAAGAACGGTACTATCATCTCATGCATTGGGTCATCGTTCCTGGCAAGATAAGATCAAACTTTTCGTATTCGGCAGACCATCTCACCAGTCTTAGAAAAATCGGCCTTCAAGCCCGCTTAGGGAAGTGTATTACACATAGCAGTGTTAGATGTAAGGCCAGTTGTAAAAAGGAAAATCTAGCTCGAGAGTCATTTCCCCAAATTATTCCGAAATTTTCTATTTCAATCAATGGGAATGAACTCCGACTACCAAGAACTTCGTTCCCACTAGTGGCGAAGGGTCGAATAAAGTGAGCGGGCGCGGAGAAGGAAAGGCCAAAGACTTCGGCCTAACGGGAATGAGCAACGACGAAATGAGAAGATGAGCTGCTAGAGAATCCAATAAGTCCAACCGCAGAAAAAGTGAAAGTCAGTCCCGTCTCAGGCTAAACCGTGGCAATCGATTAGATTAGCTGTCGAACGAGGAAAGGCCCAAGCCAAAGGGGCTACCAGTGATGATGGAAAGGAGGCTGACATTGAAATAGAAGAAAGTTCCTCTCCTTGAAGTCTTTGACTTCACTTCGCTTCGCTTCGTTTGTTCCCCTTGGCAACATTCATTCTATTCCTTATATGAACATGAATTCAATCCTTATATACTATCTTCTATTGGATTGATGTGTCCGTTCAATTCTATCCTGCCAATCTATTCAATCCCAAAATCTACCACACGATGACCACTCCTATCGGCTCACCTCAATGTAATCGATCCTCCTCGCCTATCTCTTAAGGGATGGCCTAGTGGCGGAAATTCGTCGATGAAATAAAGACACCAGCACTCGACACAAAAGCACCACACACATCATCAAGGCAAAAATCCACAGCAAAATCCTAAAAAGACAGAACAGAATGCAAGGAATAGAAAGCAAAGAGAAAACGAAGCAACTACACCGGGGAGAAAGGTTAGTTTCCAAGTACCACCACGATACAAAAGAGGAAATACCCGTCATCGGGACCTTGCTACATTTGTCATCAGCAACCTACCTAAACGAACCATCTTCAGACAATGAACATTCAGACCGCCTCGTATGGGACCCGATCCCCGGTCGGTACGTATGGATGCGTCCTCGTGTGGAACCGGTATGGGTCATCTCGTATAGACAACGCCTTACCAGGCTTATTGCATCTGCTTTTATAGTGGGCCGTGGACAGTGGGAATGCATTTATCAATATAAGGTCGCGTTATGTTCAGTCGTGGATTTATTTCGGAAGAAATCCCTCTAGTGTTTTCGACGTAAACCATTTCCTTTTCGTATACCAGTCTTGTTTGGCTTTCACTTGAAACGATTGTAGCTTGGTGGCATGCTTTTAGTTCACTCCCCCTCTTTTGCTAAGCAGACCCCCACTGTCCCGGTAGCTTGTTGCGGCTTTCCTTTTGGACATCCTGCAAGACTTCCTCTGACTGACTTAGCGGATTTGCCCAAACCTAGGGCAATCGTGGCTTCGCGACTAGGAAGTTCAAGTAATAGGGCTTGTATTGGTGAGTAAAGGCCTTGCTCTCTTTTGGCCTGCCACTTTCCCGATGAAACTATTCTGTTCGTCTGCCGTGCTTGTTTGGATCCCGGCCTTCTGGATGACTCTCTTCTTTTCTTTAGTTGGCTTCTTTCAAGCGAGAATGGGAATCAGGTGTTCATTGAGGCACCGGCTAACTAATTCCATATAAAGACTCCTCAGGGTTCCAAACCTGCATCATAGAGACAATTGGGGAGCTACTTTGTTCCCCTCTCTCCCTATCAGACCCTCGGTTTTCTCTTTTTTTACGATAGACCTGCATCAAAATTCTCACATTCTTGGTTCTGTTAGGTAGGTCTTGTCAGAGCCTTCGTATACTTCCCGGAACAGTAAGCCAATCTCAACTTCGCCGAGTGGGGTTTGTCTGCGAATGCTAGCTGTTCTCTCTGTGGTCATGTGCTTGAAGATGTCATTCATGTTCTTCGTGAATGCCCACATGCTTGGAAGAATTGAGACGTTGAAAAGCCCCTATGAAAATGAAATGCTAGTCGTTGAAAGCGGCCGACACACAAAGCCCTCACTCTCGAGCAAAGCAGCTACCATTTTAATAACTTGAAAAGAGGTTTTAGTAAGGCAGCTCACCAGTGCCAGTTGTCTGTTAAGCATTGAGACACTTTACTTCGTTATAGTTTATCCAATTATAGATTTCGCGCCACCCTTTAATAAAATTAACGATCCAATGCTTATTTTGCTGCCTTCGCTGTGGCCTTCCACTCGCCCAGAGCAAAGTAGCGTAGAAGAGGACGAAGGAGCTTTAGAGATAGGCTCATAGGAAGACAGCTACGCAGCGAGCGGCAAACATTCTGGATTGAATGTTGGAAGGCTTTAGTCCCGCTGAACCAGAAGAAGAGTGACGTAGTATGACTAGGTGACAGGCGAATTTGCTGATTTGCCGAATAAGCGACGAAGTATATAAAGTAAGTAGGATCCGTATGTCTGTTATCACTCTCTGCTTGTACCCGAAGACTCTGCTACATAAGATCTTCATGGTTCATAGGGTACAAACTTTTCGAAGCGAAGTGAAGTCATAGAGAAATGCTCCTACCTTTGCTTGCGTCTGTTACCCTTGCTGAAGCCTATGTCTCTATCGTTGTTAGATCACGTAGATTCGGAGAGATCAAAGGAGGGCTACTAAATGAAGAGGAGTTTAGCATATGATGCTGGGTTGTGAACAAGAGAACTACCTAAGAGGCATACTTGTATGAAAAGGAATGTTGAAAGGAAAATGAATGTGCAATAATGACATCCTATCTTCTCTGCATCAAGAGAAAGACTAGTTGCCTTGAATTGGCAGGGGGCATAATCTATCGCATAAAAGCTGTATTATCAAATGCCGCATCTCAATTGAACCTTTCCTCTCCTTTCCTTCACTTCGCTTTGCTTCGTTCTCCAAGTCGTCTCACTTTGCTCTCCTGCCCCTCATCTTGCTGTGCCTCTTTCCCTGCCAGGGAGAAAGCTCGCTCTCGTTCTACTCGGATCCCAGCGAACGTCTCCGAAGGTGGAGGATAATATATCAGGGCTTGGTGGGTAGAGCCTCATTCCCAGATATTTATCAATGATCGGGATCGATCATGTCGGACCCAACGAACAAAGCGAAGCGAAGTGAAGGAAAGGAGAAGTAGTTGTGAGGACTTTAGGAGGTAAATAAAGTGACAAGCTAACCGGGAAGGAAGAAACTCTCAGACCACCAGACGTCAAGATTCACTTATTAAGTAAGGCGTCGATTGAATCAGATGGGATGGTACGAAGTTTTCCATCAGGGGTACCTATTGTCTCTCTTTCTATTGTTTTGTCCGCAGAGGTCAATTATATCGAGCCTGGATGTAGCTACCGATATTCCGCACTAGGTCAATTACATCGAACCTGTTCCTGGCCTTGAATCATTCTTTTCCTTTGTGGAATGTCTAGTAGACAAAAAGAAATAGGAATGGTCGAGTTGGCTGGAAGTTCGCTTCTTCCTTTAGAGAGTTTCAATCGATGAAGTAATGTAGTGCTAATTCGTTGGACTTTGTTGACGTGGAAAAGTCTCTTTTCTAAATTGCTTAAGTAATACGAAGTTCTGTGTTCAAGCCTTTTTGCTGCTAGTTGGAACTCAAACCCCTAGCGAGGGTATTCGAGAATGATTACGACGACAAACATCAACCGGTCTTTCATAGTTGTTCAGAAGTCAAAGCTTTTGCTTACGATGAGATGAAAGTAAATAGACAATGGACCCGCTGATTGATCGAATGGAAACTTCCCCCTTCTCGCTAAATTCAAACTTCCTGCTTCAACGCCTCTAAAGTCGTTACGTTTTCCCTGCGCTTCCTCTTCTCTTTCGAATTAGCGAAGGAGTTTCTTCTTACAGGTTAACTTCAAGCAGTGTCGCTTAGGAATGACTTTCTTCTACCTTGCTCAGAGATTCAAGTTGATTCGCTTCCTGCTAAAGACTACCTTGTCCCAGGATCGGATGCATACGTTTCAGCATTTGCTCTAACTTCCTTTGTCGCTGCTGGTGCCCATCTTTTATCTTCTTTAGCCGGGAACTGCCGCCCCACCAACCCCTACCTTCCTATTCCCTGCGAGTTATCTCTCGCTTTTGCTTCTTTTCTTGGTGGGACGGGGTAAGCCTATGAATAAGGTAGAGACATAGTGAGAGAATAGATTCTATATAGTTATTGCTTGCGACGGAGTTGTACGTTTCAGGATACCTTGAATCTCGTCTTTCCGGGCTTTAGGAGTCTTCCAAACAAAGGGTTCTTTATCGGTAGTCAAACTCTACCTTAGTAGGGGGATTCTTTTTGACTGGTTGGCATCGATGGATCACTTAGAGGTTCTCAACTCTTTCCTTCAAGGCTTTCGAACTGTGCTATTGCTTTCGACTGACTTTCCCTAGCTTCTTGGCCTTTTCCAACTGCCACTGAAAGCAGGCTTAGGACGATTCCCAAGATGTTCCACCCAACCCAAAAAGCACTCTACGCCGAAAGAGATTCCTGTGGCGAAGGCCTATGCTAAAGGTTGAAAGAAAGTACGCTGTAGACTACGTTGTTGCTGTTCGGATTGATTTGAACCAGCCTATATGTGGAGTAGCAAAAGAGTTAGCAAGTTAGGTTTCTATGACTTCACTTCGCTTCGCTTCGTTCGTTGGGTGGTAAAAAGATCTGTTTTAGGCCGGGTATATGGGCCTGTTCCTATGTGTGCTATTGCATTTGAGGTGCAGTCAAGATCGATTTGCTTTAGTTGACACAGGAGAGCAGAAAGACTTTCTAACCGATTCTACTTGATAGATAGATAGGCCTTGCTTGGAGCTTGTGAATAAGGTGGATCCTTCTTTCCCCTTTCATCAAGGAATGGAATCCGCAACTAAAGAATCTATAGAAGGGCGCAGGACACTGCTAAAAGAGAAGGCGCAAAGACCAATCCTCCTGCCGATTCGAAGGGGTCTGGCTTGTATAGTTGAAGGGGAAGCAAGAGGTAGTAGGGGCCCGGTTAAGCCAATCCTAGGGGACGCAGCCCATCCTGACGAGGGACTTCCTTCTGATCTACGACCACCCTCAAGTAGGATCGGGAGAAGTCCTATCAATATACTTTTTTACTAGAAAAGACAATAGCGCCGGTTTTTGACTTCACTTCGCTTCGTTCTTAGGGTCAGAAGGTATAGGATTTGAAAAGGGCAAGCAGGCGCAAGAACACAAACAGAAGATTCAACAGAGTATGAAAGCCTTTTTCGGTCAGTTGGGCTCTTTTCCTTCACTTCGCTTCGCTTCGTTCGTTGGGAAGGGAGATTGATAACTTGGCCATCCGCCACCTATTGGTACTTTCATTTTAAATACATCAGGCTCCCGTCGCTTTGAGGCTCGATATAATTGACCTCAGCTGGTGGCCTGATTCGTGACTCGGAGGGGAGATGGGTGATTGCTTTCTTATTGAATATTGGTAAAACAGGCAGTTTAGAAGCTGAACTTTAGGGTATTCGACAGGGTATTCTGATGGCTAGAGATCGTGGTATTCAACGCCTGATTATTGAGTTGGATGCTCAAGTAGTAGTCCAGTTCTTACGCAGTGCAGTGATAACCTCACATCCTTGCTACACTTTGATCAGGGATTGCTTGGAGCTCATTAACGGTGATTGGATTGTGGACGGTCGATGTAATTGAGGCTTATGCGACAGACTATAAGTGAGAAAAAGGAAGAAAAGCCTGCTGCCTACAGATGTCCCATGCCACGTTTCGTGAACAGCTATGCCCGAGAATGAATGAATTGTGATATAGCGCCGAATAAGCCACTGCTCTATTCCCGACTCGAAATCTATAAAGGACTCTAAGGAAGAGGAAATAGGGGGCCCTATACCATACATCCTGCTGTCTCTGGACGACTGCACCTTACATCATAGCAGCACGCCGGAGGTTTTTATTACTTTACTAAGTTGGTGCTAAACGCCAGCTATAAAATTAGGGGCTTTTCCATTATTAGTTGCTCGAAGCCGGATAATTAAGAATGACGAAGATCCGGTCGAATGATAGAAGAGTCTATGGGTTCGTTAGCTAATAGCAGAGAACTTCTATGACTTCACTTCGCTTCGAAAAGTTCGTTGGGTGCAAGAATCGTTAAGCGAATGCTCGGCCTTCGATAGAGCTCTCAACGAGGCATCGGCGAATCGAAAAAAAGGGGCTCAACCACGAGGATTGATTCCTTTAGGGCGCCCACTCCTAACTAATAGAATACTTAGACAAAGAACAGAAGTGAGCCGGGTGGCTCCTCTAGTCTCATTCTTCCCTCCCATGACGTTTGGGGTTTGGTTGTTGGGTTGTTCCCGGGCCCATTTGAAAACCCTTGAGTCCAGATGAACCCCCTCGGCCCATTGCAGTACTGTCTACATCATCCATATTTAATTCATTTAACGCCGCAAAAGAGTTTCTCACCGCTGTTGCTGGTTTTGTTCCAACGGTCACCCTCCTTCTGTCTGTAGCCGTTGAGTCTGAAGGGGTCCCCTCCTGAAACCTTTTGGCCAGCATCCAGTCTCCTATCCCATCTGGACGTTGAGGTTCAACCCCTTTCGTTCCAGACGAACTAGCTATAGGATCTAGTCCCGATTGAACCATGGACTCCTGTTCCCCCTCATGTCCTGATCGTTACTGCCTTGTGCCGGAGCCGTCTGTGACATCGGAAAGGTGGGATTTCAGGACAAGGTAGTTTGTGACGGTTCTTGCTTTCAGCTGACGAGGGATAAGAGGTTTGAAAACGCTCGACGTCAGGAGGACCAGCTTCACTATTTTTCCGGCCGGATGGAAGACTTAGTCAATTACATCGAACCTAACGCGCTAAGCTTTATTGGTGCTTCTTCCTATTGGTCCACTAGAGGGTCTAGTTTTCTTTATTATATTCTCCAGCACCTGCACGTAAACGTATTTCTATTTCTTCCTTCTCTAAGGCAAAGCCTAGAATGGCATAATTGTCCGATTCCATCTATCCTTCTTCTTTCCTATGGTTCACTGAACTAAAACTCAGAACTCAAATCATTCCCTCTCTATAGCAAGGTAGGAAGGAACGGTACGAACTTTTCGAAGCGAAGTGAAGTCAAAGACGGGAGAGGCTCATCACAAAAAATTTATAGATCCCAGTATACCCAATGTCAGATAGCTGCCAAAAAGCATAAGCCAGAAAACACAATATGTGCCCCAGCTACACCTTCGTAACTCCAAATACCCTCCTTCGTTAGAGTTCCTCCAAACCAAATCCTACACTAGGGACTTTCGTCTTTACTAAAAGCGTTCTATGAAGTCTCAATCTCTCTTACTACTTCTGACTTCACTTCGCTTCGCTTCGTTCGTTGGATCGATGTAATTGAGTCATGAATAGGAAGAGGTTTGAAGAATACCAATGGGACACTTCGGGCAGGAAAGATCTTTTTTTCACAATAAAGAAGATCTCCTCCGGACCCTCAATGAAAGGTCTAGGATGCTTTTCGGATGCATAGAATCTAATTGAATGTGTTAAGCATAGTGACAGTGACTGATCAAATAAATAGTGGAAGCAGCAATCGCCTTTCGGTTAGCTCTTTTGAATGAAACAAAGATAATAGACTCACTACGCGCAGGATCATACACTAACCAAAGACCTTATCTGAATCTGACTGAAGATATTTCTTGAAAGACGATTTGTTAGGCGGGGGATCCCTTTTATCTTCAATCAACGCAGGGAGTAGATTAGACAGGGAAGAAGATCCATGCCATACGCGAGAAAGGGGGTTGGTAAGGAAAGACAGGAGGTGATTGAGAGATCACAAGCCTATGGAACTTAGCGACGATACTCTTTTTATACAGAGGGAATATTAGAATCTATGACTGAACTGCGCTTCGAAAAGTTTGTTGAGTCTCACTTCGCTCTCCTATCAAAATGAAAAGCTTGACTTTACTAAACAAGCAAGAAACTATATACTCTATTAGTCAAGCCGTCACTTGTTGCTTTTAGTAAGGCCGCCTTTGAGCTTCCGCTTTACCAACGATAGGGGATTCAATTTCCAAGTTTCACAAAGATTCGGTAGCAACAATGGATGGGAATTATCCTCAGAATATAGGTTCTCAAAGAAAGTCCGAACCAAGTTCTTAAGTTCATGAAGATCATAACACCAAGAATCATCTTCCCGTTTCAATGCTAAGACCTGCTTCTTCACACTATTTCTCTTGGGCGTGAAAAAACTTTGAATTACAATCTCCACCATTCACACTTGCTTTTTTGCTTGAGCCCTCCTGAAAGCATATCTACCTAAAGGCACCCTCGATAAGCACTAATTCCAGGTTCTGAAGGGAAAGAATTTGGCCCTCTATCCAGCTGCTTTTGTACCCCATTCAGTCTGGCAAGAACTCTGCGTGCGTTTCCGTTTGTAAATATTGCCAAAACAAATCCTGCTCCACTGTCTCATGTCAGCTGCTATATTGGTAAGGTTTCCCATCATATTCTGCGACCCCCAACTTTGTTTAACAAACTCCAGGAATTCATCATGGGCAAGCCAAGCATGTTCAAACCGAAAAGCTTTCTCCACATAATCTGGCATAAGCGTATCAAACTTCACACTAAGAAGATGGTGGTCTGAATCTTGGAAGATTGGTCCCCTTACTAGTTAAAGGAAATAGCGAAAGGAATCCAACCAAAGATTGTTGGCAACTGCACGGTCCAGCCTTACCCGTGAGTAGTTGAAGACATCCAGCCTTTTCTTTTAGTCCAAGTAAATCTTGGCCCGCCAAGATCTGTCAAGTTACTCTCCTGAAAACACTCAAGCATCAGTTCAATTGTTCAAGTTGACCCAACAAACGAAGCGCAGTGAAGTCATAAGTAGTCATAGAGAAAGGGAGAGGGAAGGTGTAATTGACCTAGGATAACCGCATGGAAGAAGGAAGCGTTGACGCATAATAGAGGATGCCAAAGTCTGACCTCGCCAAATACCCCAAGCAAGCTTGTAGAGGAAAGCTTGATTAGCCGTGAAGATAGAGCGGACGCCAAGACCTCCCTCCGATGTAGGAGCACAACACTTATCCCAAGAAGGCGTGATTCTCGCAGAAGTCTTAATATCACCTGACCAAATTCAGTTACGGCAAGCCTTGTCAATAACATCAAGCAATGAGGTCGGCCATCTATAAACCATCATGCTGTGGACTAGAGAGCTAGTGATAACCGAATTCACTAGGCAGATGCGTCCCGCCATAGAGAGAGAGTGTCCTTTCCAACGCTTTCATTTTAAGAGAATACGGTCACATAGGGCCTTACGATGGACACGTCTAGGGATGCCCTTGAAAATAGGAACCCCTAGGTAGTTAAATTTAACCAATGGGAATTTCCCTTTCGCGGCCTGGACAGGGAACGTGCAGTAGAACTGCAGACCCCTAAAGAAAGGAAGAGCTTGGACTTCCCAGGGTTGTATACTTGTCCTGAAGCCTCACCATAGTGAACGAGAATATTCCGAATTCGTCAGCCATTAGATCTTGTTCCCGCTGACAAAAGCGAGAATGTCGTCCGCATAAAGCAAGCAGGCTGGGAAAGATATATTCCGTGGAGCCAGAAAAGGTAACAATTGACCCGAGTCAACTGAATGTGTGAGCATGCGTGCTAAGACCTCCTCAGCAATACAGAAAAGAAGAGGTTTGGAACCCTTGCCGTACACCCCTAGAGCAGACAAAGAAGCCTGACGGCTGACCATTAATAAGAACAGAGAGCCTAGCCGAGGAAAGAATGGTCCCCACCCATTGCACAAAGGTCTCATGGAACCCAAGCGCCGTAAGAGTTCCCAAAAGAAATGGCCAGCGAAGGTTTGAAGATACTCGACCAAACAAACGAAGCGAAGTGAAGTCCTGGTTCAATTGACTTTCAAATTCGAAAATTGTTTTAGCTAAAGTGTTTCTGGTTCAAATATGGGCTCTTAAAAGACGGATACGGTGCTTTTGCTTGCCTTCTTTCATGTCGATGAAAGCTTGTTCACTGAGGGTAAGTGCTTCTGGAATCCGTTTATCCTTTGCAGAAAGCGTAATATCACCCTATGCGGCTTAGTCAAGTCGACTAATCAGCCAATCAATCACACACCAAACGCACAACTCAATAGGAAGAGTCGGAATAGTGTTTACGCGCAACGAGCAAGCAAGCAACGCACGCACACACATGCATCAAGTAAATAGCAACAAGATTTACGGGCTCCACGCCCAACCAACACTTTATCACTATGCTGGAAAAATCGCCAAGGCTTGCACACAATTCACGCGGTATCGCTCTGTGTTCGCGTTCGTGCAACTCATGGCCTATATATAGGCCCGTAGGCAATTTCGGTTGACATCCCCAACCGCTAGGATAAGGTAACCGTACGGCAGTTTCGCAACTGCCTTTATCCGAAGCCAACACAGTAGCAACCGTCCACCCAACGGTCTGAATGCGCGGGTCTTCAAGCAACACGTACCACGTGTCCCTTGTAACCGTTCTGGACACGTGTCGCCCGTCTGATTCCTCTTAGCCATGCACCCTCGAAGGATATCCCGCCTAGGCCACGTGGGACATAGTAACCAACCAGCCCAACGTGCGTGCAAAGGCGTCGTACCACCTTGCACCTTAGCCCACATGTCTTTGCATGGCCATGCACAACCTGCAAAGACTTGACTGATCCCATGCTCAGTCTACACCAACTTGGCCCTGCAACTCAGCATCCATGCCAAACTAGCCCGGTACCTTTCCCATGTTGATGTACTCATTCCCTAATAGGATGGCAGTTGTTCGAAGACTTTTTTTTTTCAGGATGATTAAAACTAATCTTATTAGTGGCAGCTGATAGTCTTACCAAGGAGTCGTGCATAGCCATCTACTTGTATGCGAAGGCTGTTAAGCGGTTGTATAGGAAGGAGGACTGAAAGCAACCTATCCCCGCCTAGGGGCCTATCCACCAAGAATCCAATGGAACTAGATGCCAGAAGTGACTCGAGTGTTAGAATTTGATAAACAGAGAGAAGTCCCCGAAGAGACCACCGGGTAAGTTTGGACACATTGTCCCGTGGGATATTAGACCTTGGCAAGGCTGAGCATTGACCATGGTAAGGTATTTTATCAAAATAGACAGGGAAAGAGCGGTACGGTAAAGGAACGGAGGAAAGATCTACTCTTAACTTAATGTTAATGGGTGAACTACTGAACGAGCCGAGAACGAGGAAGGTGAATTGAGCTCAAATGCAGAAGTGGCAGGCAAAACGACTCCCCACTAAAAGATACCCAATAGGATAAGGCTCGATATAATTGACCATTGGGCTGTCTCGAGCTATATCTGAGTTTCTGTATCATTATACCGACACACACCCCCGAAGGAAGATATAGGAATAGGGCTTACTCTCTTATAGCAAGGGGAGCTTATAGAAGACGATTCGATTTGGCATCGGAAAATCGTCTGCATCCCTCACTCCTGGAATCCGTTCAGTCCCTTCGCTCTTTAGACTACCAACTTGAACTTGATAAGGCATTAAACCCTTCATTCAATCCCTCGGCTAGGAACTCAATAGCCTCTTTCCTGCGCTTTCCTTGCTTGCTGCTTTCCGATATACCACCCCGGAGGCAACAAAGGGATACCCGCTGGAGTTCCTTACTACTGTAGGGGTAGGTTGAATGCCCCGGAGCGTTCATTAGCTACCCAGTTCGCACTAGCAGCCTTTACTTGATAGGGTCACTTAGGAGATTGCTTACTGGTTACCGAAAGGTTGCCCCGGTTCGGAGAGGAAGGTTTTTAGCCCTATCAAGTTTAAGGGAAAATCGGTATCTGACTTCTTTATTGGTCTGAGTTGCTGCTTTGATGGCCCTATCAAGTAAAGTGGGGACTATAAAGAAGAGCGAAGCGAACCTCAGGTGTGAGATTAATTCCTAGGGAGTAGAGCGTAGCGACTGAACTCTTTCCTAAAAGGATGGAGTTCAGGAGTAAGCTTTATCTCTTTAAGGAAGAGAGCTAGAAAAGGATAATCTTAACCACTTTCAAGTAAAAGATGAAATCTTCTTCTCTTACGATATTTCTAAGCAAATGAAATGTCA